GTGTAGTAGATTGAAAAAATAATTTTCTAGCATGTCATATTTTCTTTAGAAGCATGATTTCCTTTCTTAGTAAATTATGTAGAATGTTAGGTCATAAATGCTAAGACAAAATAGAGTATGGTAAAGATTAGGAATGCCCTTGGGATTGAGATTTTTGCATAGGCTAGTCAAGGAAGGTGTCCCCAGGGTGGTATTTGAGCCTTTGAAGGAAGTGCAAGTATAAATTTTGGGCAAAGGGAGCAAGCCAGCACCAAGGCTCAGGGCAGGAATGTGCTAGGTCTGTTCAGAGGTGCAGCAAGGAGGTCAGTGTGGCCTGAACAGAGTTGGTGAGATGGTCAAGAGGAAATGGAGGCCAGGGTGGGTAGGGACTTGTAGGTAAGATTAGAAAATTTGGGGCTGACTTGGTGCAATGGCCTTGCTCTGGCTGCAACGTTAAGAGTAAAGGAGGGGGTTGGGAGCATGAGCATGGAAGGAGCCAGTTGGGAGGCTCCTGCAATAATCTATTTGAGAGACGAGAGAGCTTTGGGCCAGGACAGCAGCAGTGAGGTGAAGAGAAGTGGTTAGATTCTGAAGCCAACATTTACTGTGGGATTAGAAGTCCGGTGTGAGTGAAGAGACAGGAGACTATCATCGCCTTGATTTTGCCACTTGGACAGGTACAAGTTTACATCTCCTCCTTGAATTTGCATTTCCCTACCTACTAGCAAGGTTAGCTTCTTTTCACGTTTACTGACTACTTGAATTACTTTCTTGAGAAGTTCCGGTTTTCCTCTCCTTTTTTTTTAAAAAAGATTTTATTTATTTATTTGAGAGAGAGAATGAGCAGGGAGGAGGGGTAGAGGAAGACAGAGAGAGAGAGAGAGAGAGAGAGAAGCAGACTCCTCGATGAGCAGGGAACCTGACTCGGGACTCGATCCTAGGACCCTGGGATGATAACTTGAGCCGAAGGCAGATGCTTAATGACTGAGCCACCCAGGTGCCCCACATTTTCCTCTCCTTTCCTCTGGTGAATGCATGATTTCCTTAACAAAAATCTCGTCTGTGGGGGTTTTGCTTGCTGTTTATCCAACCTGTGAGGTTAGTTTCTCACTTTAGAAATACAGCATTGCTGAGCCGGCAGGTAACCCCGGATTACTTGGTCAAATCTCTTTATAGATGAGAAAACTGGGGCTCAGTTGAGCGATTTATTCCACGTCACACAGCTCAGCGTGGGAGCCGTTGCTAAAATTTAGCTTTCCTGATCACCACTCTATTTCACTTTCCATCTACTATACCATTGGTATTAAGAAATCTTTTTTTACCAATAAAACTAACAAGAGCCAACAAACTCATCTCTCCATAAGGATTTACCTTTGGATAGGATAGTTGATCAAAAGGAACATCAATAAAAATGTACTACCCAGGCTAAGCCACTGGATTTGCATCGCTTTTTTTCACTGTAACCTTTGAAACAGGAGAGAACGGGCGGGGTGTCTTTCCTGCCTGGCCCTCCGGTCCCTGGGCCACGCTGAGATCAATAATCACTCGGCTCCTTTCCGCCTCATTACCGTTCTAATTTGCCTTCAGTGAATCCACCGAAGGTGTGAGTGTAATTTTTTTCCTACTCTAATAAACCAACCTTTTAGATTAAGGGAAAAGACAAAAGGGATAAGACCAGCTTATCTTAGTGAGAAAGGAACTGGGAAAAGTAGAACATGGCAGGCCATACTTGCTGAGTCGGGCTTGTTCAGCAATGCAGCCGTCTCACTGACGGCCTCGGGTCCTTCTAGGAAAAACCCGATGGAGGGTGCTGGAAACAGGCAAGCGGCTCTACGGAAGTAATAAGCAGAGGGTCAAGAGAGGATTCACCTTAGCCAGACATTTTTTTTTTTTTTTTAAAGTAAGTCCTATGCCCAGGCGTGGGGCTTGAATTCATGACCCTGAGATCTGGAGTCCCATGCTCCACCGACTGGCCAGCCAGACATATTTTAAAGCAAGAGGAAGATCAGAAAGATTGAAAGGACCCAGAGTGGACTGGAAGTGATGAGGGCACAAACTTGGAAAGGTGAGTGGACACTTGCTGAAGCTGCTGCTCTGAGCTCGGTGTGTGCCAGATCCGCTCCCTTCCAAAAGCATCACAATGGCCTTCTCCAAAAGAGTTGTACGCTGGCTGCAGAAAATTTAGGAGATATTAAAACACTATAAGCCTCTAGCCTTCTCTGTGCACGTACACTTGCTGCATACAAAAACACTGGCAAAATGCAACGCATACTGGCTTGAAGCTGTTTTTCTCAGTTAACATATTGAGCATTTCCTCCATGTATTTAATCTGTCTCTGTGACATGATTGATAGTGGCCATACAGGACTTTACTACATAAAAATTTTCCTCAAACAAACCTCTTTTGTTAGACCATGTTGATGTTCCTGGATTTGGGGAGTGACAGATTTCAGGTAGAGGTAGAATTACCAGGTCAGAGTATTTCTTAAAGAAAAACAAAAACAAAAAACAGAAACAACCAAAACCTCACATCATTTTTTTTTAAATTTTATTATGTTATGTTAGTCACCATACAATACATCATTAGTTTTTGATGTGGTAATCCACGATCCATTGTTTTCATATAACATTTATTCTTTAAAAGAGAAAGATTTCAAAAGATTTTCAATGTGAAAAAAAAAATCACACATACAGAAAAAGAACAAAATAAACATCAACTATAATCCCACCATCATTCACGTTTTGGTATATGCCTATCCTTTCAGTTTTTTAAAAAAACATGTAAACATTCTATACAAAATTACATACGGTTTCATAACTGACTTTTCTCATTAGATACAGCGTATTTTCTCATATCTCTACGTGTTCTTCCAAAACATAACTTTAAATGGCTACAGAGTTCCCTTGCATGGTGATGTCACACTCACTAGGACAGAACCACAAACGCAGGTACTTTCTGCAAAGAACAGTGCCTCTTGATAGAAAACTGCTCAATAACCACTTCCCGAATGAATACATGAACTTCGTCAACCAACTCCCTGTTGCTGGATATCGAGCTTATTTGGGACTTTCACTGTTACATCCTTACACAAAAGTCTTGTGGACAGCTCTAAAGACTTCTTTTGACTTAACTCCTAGAAGTGACATTTATTGGGTCAAATGGTACACACTTCAGAAGAGAATTAAGATGACTGTACAGTTTATCATCAAACCACATCACTTTGGAGGGGACAAGGGGATGGAATTCAGGAATTCCGCAATCACAGTCCCACTGGCAGAGTGTCATCTGAGTATGTTTCCCCAGGCCCAACACTGTGACTCTACACTTGATACTGCATATATCCTACATCGTACTGAGTATCTACTCAGGCATTTTTGGTATAAAATAATGAAGAAAAAAAATCTTCCCCTTGGCCCCTTTCCCTGATTTCAGGTTCCTGCCTAGGGGTCTAGCTTCCTTTCTCCGGCATCCACCAACACCTTCTTCTGTGCAAGGCCAGATCACTTAGGCTCTAGGCTGTCCGCAGCAACTACTCAACTCTGTCACCCGGGCGTGAGGGAGCAGCCACAGGTCATCTCTAAGTAAGTGTGACTGTGTTCTGATGAAGACTTTACTTACGGACACAGAAATCTGGTTTTTTCTTATTTTCATGAAATACTATTCTCTTAACTTCTTCTCCCCAGCCACTTAGGAATGTAAAAACTATTTTTAGTCCATGGGCAGTACAAACACAGGAGGTCTGTCAGCATGTGCTGCCTCTTGACGTAGAAAATGTCTGGTGGACAACTAAAACAAACCTAGGCAGATCATCCTCATGTAAATGTGGAAAAATCACCAATTTTTCCTTTTTCCTCAATTGCATCATTTTCTGCTTACTGTGAAGGTAGAGTTGCATTATAGATCTTCAACTATAGGTTCCTCACAAAAATAAATAAAAATGAGAGAGACGGGAGAATTTAATGGTGTAAATAATTTTCCTCACCGTCCAACTCAATCAGCACATCCCTTGAGGGAGTGTGCGTGGGCTGGGAGATCGGAGTCTGCTCCTCTTGGCTGGCCCGTTTCTACAGGCTGCTCACAGCACACATACCTCGCTTCATGGAGTGTCAGTTTACAGTCTGAATATGTACTTTTTTTGCACCACATTATTCCTAAACACAAGTTAGCACCTTTATCTGATATTCAATTGACTAAAGAGCAAACTATTCTAATGCTGAAGGATGGGCTGACCTACTGGATTTGCTAAATGACAGGATGTGGGTTTCCAGTGGGTCACATATGAGGTACACTATGGAAAACATAAGGGATTTTTCCAGTGGTAATTTTAATTATTTAAACTTATTTAATTATTTAAAATAATTTATCTAAAATTTTCCCATCATGCACTAAGTTTTGAGGTCATTTAGACGTAGTTATTTAGATATAAGGGATGAATCTATTAATTTTTATTTCTTAAAAAACAAGTATCAAAATATGAACTCAATATGCAATGTTCCTAAGAAGAAAAAAGGCAGGACAGAGACATGCAGATGTGGCGAGTCTTGTCGCAAGCAGCAGGTATCCAAGTGGCTTCCAGCCAGTCGTCCACACAGACAAAAGGCGATGTTTCTAAGAGTCCATGCAGTAATAAAATACTGACACCATGTTTCTAGAAAGGAGCACTAAACTCCCATTATCATTTGAAATGGAAGATGGTAGTAAATACTATCTTCATGTCATAGATGAGGAAACTGAGGCTCTGAGAAATGTAAAGCAGCTCAGCTAAGGGTACAGTGAGTCGAGTTGGTGGGGGTACAAAGATTCATGCATTTTCCAAGCTGCCCACAATCACAAAAGACAGCAGTGACTGGAATATCAAAGAATATTCTCTCCTATAAGACAGTCACAGAGAAGACTTAGGGCAGAGCGGGATGGCACAGGGCAGAACAGCTGGAGGGCTCCAACAGCATGAACAACACAGCAAGTAAAAACAGGAAAAAACTAATCCCAGATTCGCTAACCCTCAAAGATAGATACAGATCTTTAATTTAAAAGACAGAAAGTTTATTCATGGAGAAAACAGTTACAGAACACCCTTGGGGTTTTTTTAGTCCAACAATTAAAATTGCATTAAAAAGCCAACAGGAAGAGTTTAGACCTAAAAGAAATCTGGAGAAACTACTGCTCCCCTTCCCTTGGCTTTATATATATTTTATCTTTTAGGCAAGAGAGATAGCTGTGATTAATTTCTTTCCTAGGAGATGAGGTTTCTAGTTCCATTGTCTTAATGTGTATAGGATTTTTCTGTGAAAGCCAGAGAAGACGGAAGAAAAGATCACTGGATGGCTGGAACAATGAAGGTGAGACTAATGGTTGGTTCCTGGAACCACAATTATACCACAAATCACTAGATGGGATAGCAGGAGGGGTGTCAGATTTCTCATTAATAAATCTGAGGTATTTAAGGCTCCAATAACATGGAAACTCACTTCCACCTCCCTCAGAGGTAACGGCAGAGGCTGGAAAGGCTATTCTGGAAGGTCAAAGCTCCTTGGACTTCTCACATACATTAGTGCCAACATCGAACCAGACTGGACCATGTCCAACATGAGCAAAGTGGCTAACTGCTTTACTCTTCAGGATGGGTTCCAAGGCAACACTATGATCCACGATGAGCTTTTCCCTGTCTCTCTTTTTGGCTTGTCCTGATGCTAGAGTCTATGGCAATACAAGAAAGCGTGGCCATTTACTTGAGACCTGCCTGAGGAAAAGAACGGGCTCTCCAAGTCTCAGCTGTCAGGGTTTAACTTCACTCGTTTTACTTGGCAATTCTTGTCGTCCAGGTGGCAGAAACCTTCTGTGGTGATGTCTCTTTTCTTCTCCTCCATGGATTCCCAAGGGAAGTCCTGGTCTGTGGCCAGTACCTGTCGGACAGTCATGTTCACACGAGCGGTTTTCAAGTAGCTGGTGCACACCTGCCAGTCCTCCTCAGAGCAGGGCTCTACCACTGAATCTCTGGGGAGGATGGCTGGGAGAGGTGTCTCTAGGCAGCATGGCAGGCTTTCCCCTTGAGGACTTGGAAGGACCCTTGGGACTGCATGGTTCAACAGGCGGCTGAAACCCGACATTACCATGATGTCACCGCTGTGCATAAACATGGCTGTGGGCGCTTCATCTCTTTTGAGGCCACCCAGGAGAAAGATGGCAGACTGTCCGAAGCTATACAGAAATAAGTAAAACGATACACAACAGTAAGTTTCTGTTACTAACCACGGCTGGGAAAGTTACTGCCAAGCGCATTCCTTTTGAATTTCATCTCAACACTTACTGCTCTCACATCCTCCTTTTTAATCTATGCTAAGACCCTTCTCTTCTGGCTTGTGTCTCTAAGTGACCAACCCATGATCTGCTGCTTAAACTTAGCACAGCCCACAGGACTGCTACAATGTAAAATTTGAAGCACTTAAATAAGCAGATTAAAAATTTAGTTTTAATATTACCAGTATAAGTTTTAGTGATGCATCTTTAAGATTTAAGCCTTCCAATGAATTGAGTCCTTTACTATATTTATCATGCCCATTCACTTTTTTTTTTAAAGATTTTATTTATTTATTTGAGAGAGAGAGTGAGCAAGAAAGAGAGCACATGAGCAGGGGCAGAGGGAGAGGGAGAAGCAGACTCCCCTGCTGAGTAGGGAGCCCGATGTGGGACTCGATTCCAGGACCCTGGGATCATGATCTGAACCGAAGGCAGATGCTTAACAACTGAGCCACCCAGGCAGCCTGCCTGTTCACTTTAAAGATAAGGCAATTAATAAAAGACACTGTTCAGGCACTTTCTTTGTGAGATACAGCTGCAGCACTTTGCCCAATTTAAACTTATGTTTAGGGAGGCAAGGCAGTAAACTAGTCAGGCTTCTGTGCTTTACTCTTCCCTATTCCAAAAAGGTTGCTCGTTTCGCCTATGGCCTTCCAGTTGCCTATTCCACGGACACTGATGATACCTTTCAATACAAAAGGTGGACTCCATGCATCTTAAACAGAAATATTAACTGTAATTTGGTTACTACTCTTAAGGACAAGGCTAATTTTACTTATGATAACATTGTTAAGACACCCAGAAGTAGAAGCTTATAGAGTCCAACCATTTCTTAAAGTCCTATGTTTTTATTTATTTTAGCTAGAAATGCTTTAGCATAAGGAATGAAGTGATAGAAAGTAATCCCAAATCCCTAGAACCAGCTTACCTGAAAGACAGCAGGGGTTTGGAGTGATCTAGTTCAGATCTGTCTACGTGGATTCCCAGGGTGGAGTCCAATCTGTAGTAATTCAGGATCCCTGCCTCGGCTCGGAAACCCTGAAACCCACAGGCTGTGGCTACTTGCTCTGAGAGGAAAGCCAGGTCAGAAGGGAAAGGTGTATAATGATCGGCTGAGTATTTCTTTGATAAAAGTAGGGAAAATAAGAAAAATAAACAATGATCTCAGGAAAATAGGAAACTGTGGCATAAGATTAATTACCACTTTAAAATTATCTAACTTATTCGTAATCCTAACAGCATGATTTATCCATCTGTTTTTGAGGTATCCAGTAATCCAATAATGAGACGTTCAAAATAGCGAGCACCTAGGACATGGCAGGCACATGCCGCGCAGTGTTAAATCAGACAAGTTCACCCTGCATGGAGTCTACCCATGAAGCAATTACTACGTCTCTCTCTGGTGCACTTTAATCTCAAATAGGATCATTCTCATAGGACAAAAAAGCAACTCAAAACTGTCACTGCCAAGAGGCACATGATGACTAAATGTAATGTGGTATCCTGGAACAGAAAAAGGACTTCAGTTAAAAACTAAAAAAAACTGAATGAAAGCTAAGAAAATATGAATAAAATATGGACTTCGCCATTGTAATAATGCATTAACATTGGTCCACTAATTGAGACAAAGGTACCATAATAATGTAAGATGTTGATAGGGAGAACTGGGTATGGGAACTCTGTACTACAATCTTTTCAACTTTCCTGCAAATCCAGAACTATCCTAAAATACAAAGCTTATTAAAAAAAAGAAAGCAAGCAATTCAAATACAACAGCCAGTTTGGTTTTGGGCCCCTCAGCCCGCAACATGGCACACTGCCAATTTCACTGGTCAGTCTGATGGGATGACATGCTCAGAACATCTGAACTGAAACTAACTTATACCATGGTCAAGGCAGGACCTTAAAATGGAGGTAATTTTCAGTGCTTACCTTCCTGGACTATTTTTAGCATGTAAAGATCACAATATCCTTCTTCTCTTAAATAAAAAAAAACCCATCAAAGGGCAGAACACTCACTCTCTCTACAAAAGCCTGCAGTTTAGGAAAACGACAAGGTGGCAGTCTCCTAGGCAGACCAGGGTGAGGGCTGCTCGCCGTGTAAGCCTGCAGCAGCCCGATGCCCCTCCGTCTTGCTACTGCTCTCGCGTCCTCCCTTTGCCCAACAACCTCAAACCACACCAGCAAATCCACTGCCGCCTCACATCTGCGCTAGTGCCCTGACGTATCCCAGCTGTAGCAACAGGGCATAGCTCTGGCCAGAAGTGAGCTTTAACTTCAGGTTAAGGCAGACTTTTGTGAAAGGCCATTAAAGGATGGCCAAGCCTCTTCAGTTGGAATTTCTGTGTTTTATTTTTTCCTTCTTTTCCTTAAGTGCAAATAAGAAGAGTTCCCACTTAATTTCCCAAAACTAAGGATATGGCTAGAGAACTATAAGGTTTTCTCTACCCTTTCAAGTTTCAGTCCTTCACAAGATCAACTAGTCAGAGGTACTGTTCTAGCACTAGGTTACCTCTGTGAGCTTTCAACCCCATCCCCAACTATCTATGCACTAGTCTTCTTACTTCTCTTTCACTTTTCTCCATTGAGTCACTCAGAGTTTCTGGTAATTTTTCACTCCACATTTTTCTTAGTAAATGAGAGTAACTTTAAGTCCTTGGGGAATACCAGTATCAGCAATAAATATAACATCATAAAAAATAAGCTAACATGTATCGTGTTAATGTATTTAACTTCTCAAAACAAGCCGGCACCACTGTAATCACGATGCGGGCATTACACCTTTGATGCTCACGCCCCCCTTTATGAGGTATGCACTATCCTATGGAAGGCCAGATTCAACCCCGGGCTGGCTCACCCAGAGAGAATCACCTGGCTATTTCCCCAAACACACATATCCAGTCTTCCATTAAATCTGCATTACTGAAAGTAATAGGTCATGAACATTTTTGAGCAACATTTATCATTATTTTGAGCAGTTAATTTAATTATTAATAAGCTGGGTTGACTGAAACTATGGAGCTTTTAGTAAGTAACTAGTTAGTAGGAAGATGGTCTATACCAATCTATTTATTAAGTTTATTCTCAAAATTAGTCCTTCCACTTGGTGTCAAACATCTCATGGAGACAAGAGGCACTAGGCTGCCCGTTATAAAGGAGGTCCTTTTGGAAGCATGGAGGTCAGGAAAGAAGAAACTGTACCTCAAGAAAACACTGAACTTTGTTAACTGTAGGACATTCTTTCCTATCTGTGTCTTGCTCAGAACTTACACAGCAGGCAAGGGTGTCTTTTGTGAGCTGATGGAGAATACCACAAGTAGATGGAGCTCCTTTTACTCCAAACAGATATTATGTAGAAAATATAAGCTCAGGGCGCCTGGGTGGCTCAGTCAGTTAAGCGTTGCCTTTGGCTCAGGTCATGATCCCAGTGACCTGGGATTGAGCCCCGCAGCAGCGGGCTCCGTGCTCAGCAGGGAGCCTGCTTCTCCCTCTCCCTCTGCCTGCTTGTCTACTTGTGATCTCTCTCTCTCTGTCAAATAAATAAATAAATAAATAAAATCTTAAAAAAAAAAAAAAGAAAATACAAGCTCAACAGACACTAAACAATAATGGAAATAAAGGTTTTAATTGAGAATTGCTCTTGAATGCAGTAAAGAAAAATCTGTACCCCTGAAACATACTTAGAGAAAGCACCAATGACTTCTGATGAAACAATATAACCTAAGGGCATATGAAGAAATTTTCTCTTGGGAGAAATTATTCATTCTTCTTGAGACACTGTTATCGAGAGGATTTTAAGAGATAAAAGAAAGAGATCCTTCCACAAATGGATAATCTGACACTTTACAAGCTTGGCCAGGAAGACATCCAACTACTGAGCCCAAGGAGTGTAAAAGCGAAGACAATGGAATTTGCAAGGAAATTTGCATACCTTACTGTCCCAGTTATAATGGTAGCCTAGGGTCACCCAGCGCAACTTCTCTAGTAAACTTCGGGGTCTCCGTTTATTTGCTTCTTTGTACCTGTGAAGATTAGGGACAAGAGGATTTATTCACCTCAAATGGCAACAACAGCCCTTTGCATGCATGGAATTTGGTATTCCTTGGTATAAGTTATTAGCAAAGATCTTGATAGAAGTGAGAACAAATGAGTTGACCAAAATACAGTAACACCAAAAAACATGATAGCATTTCTTTTTTAAGATTTATTCATTTGACAGTGAGAGAGTGTGTGTGCATGCGTGCGTGCTGGGGGGGTGGTGGTGGGGGGAGGGGCCGAGGGAAAGAATCCCAAGCAGACTCCCTGCTAAGTGGGGAGCTGGACCCAGGGCTCGATCTCAGGACCCTGAGATCATGACCTAAGACGACATCAAGTCAGACACTCAACCGACTGAGCCACCCAGATGCCCCCATGTTAGCATTTCTAATTTTTAGTCCTTGGTTCTAAATCCTCTGCTGAACAGGATCAATTTTATATTATTATTTTTTAAAGATTTTATTTATTTATTTGTCAGAGAGAGAGACAGAGCACAAGCAGGGGGAGGGGCCGAGGGAGAAGGAGAAGCAGACTCCCCACTGAGCAAGGAGCCCAATGTGGGGCTGGATCCTGGGACTCCATGATCATGACCTGAGCCAAAGGCAGACGCTTAACCAACTAAGCCACCCAGGCACCCCCATGTTAGCACTTCTAACTTTTAGCCCTTGGTTCTAAACCCTCTGCTGAATGGGATCAATTTTAAATGGCAAGTCTCCAGCATCTCAATAATGATAAAACAAGAACAACACAGAAATGTCTTTACCTGTCCATTGGAAATGGGACCAAGGGCACTGTGGGTAATTGAAAATTTGGCTAATAGAACATGTTCCATTTGGTTTGCTGAAAGTGAGGTATGATTAATCATAGCTATCACTACGTTTATAATGATGGTGGCTTCCCAGAATTATAGGTTGGGGGAAAAAGTCTGGCAAAATATACATTGTTTACAATAAAAAATAACTGGTTTAACATGACTTCTTCAACCCTGTCTAACATAGCTTAGATAATTGAGGCTTAGCTAACAATTAAGGGCCACTGTAATTGATTTGGTTTCTGACATCCCCTTGTTCAAACACAGGAGGCTTCTGTAAAACAGAGAGGTGCCCTTTCTGCAATTACATCCTGTCTGATCAAATCTATGGGATTAACTACTCTTTTTCTAAGGAGGAAGAAGCTTTTTTGATTTACCTCTAAATATCTAAAAATACAAGAATGCTAGGCCTAATAATTTTAGGGTTTATTTTTCCTATGTAATTTACATCAGCAATTGAACAAATTTTTTTTTTTTAAGATTTTATTTATTTATTCATGAGAGACAGAGAGAGAGAGGCAGAGGGAGAAGCAGGCTCCCAAGAAGCAGGGAGCCCAATGTGGGACTCGATCCCAGGACCCTGGGATCATGACCTGAGCTGAAGACAGACGCTTGACCACTGAGCCACCCAGGTGCCCTGAACAAATTTTTTTGGTCCAAGAACCACTGCGGTTTAAAAAAGAAAAGATTAGACTGCTTTAAGGACTTCATATTTTGACAGGACATGACAGATAAGTAGAAGAAAAAATGAAGGGAAAATTAAAGGCAGTATAAAATCTGTACTAAACTGAATAGCACAAGACTTTGAGGACCACTGGAATTAAGAAAAAGGAGAGCTCAAAGTTAGCTGTCTAACCAGTTAAGGCCTCATGGCAGAGTTGGGAGTTGAACGTGGCATTGAAGAATGGCCAGCATTTAAACAGAGAGTGGAGCAGTGGTCAATACCAGCATACCACATGAGCAGAAGCAAAGGTTTTCTTAGAGGCTCACACTGTAAGTGGCACTTGTCTTGACTGACAGAGTTTACAGAATAGATGCTATCTGTCCTCAGAAAGTTTAAATTCTAAGGACATCATGACACACATATCCATCAAGACCAGTAGCTAAAAGGAATGGAACAAACACCGATTTACTTAGGAGAGCAGTGCAGAAAAGAGGCAGAGCAGATCTGACTGCTATCCTCTGAAAGGCCTGCTTGCAAGGTTGGCTGTTGGCAGGCATCTGGAACTTGGAATCTGGGGAGGTTCACACCATTCCCAGAACTGCTGTTCACTGTGCCTAAACTTTTTATGCAAAACATTATGGTTTATGTTAAACAGCTGCCTTCCTTCTGGGAGTCTGGAAATTGGTTTGTGTCACAGAGACTATGGGACCAGCCCCTAGTAAGAATCTGGGCACTAAGCTTCCCTGGTAGACAACATTTCAACATGTTGTCACAACTCGTATTGGGGGAATTAAATACACCTTATGTGACTTCACTGGGAGAAAACCCTGGAAGCTTGAGCCTGGTTTTCCCAGGACTTTACTCAATGTGTCTTCTCCCTTCACTGATTTTACTTTGTATTCTTTGAACTGGAATAAATCTTATCCATGAAGACAGCTATGTGCTGAGCTCTCCTGGTGAATCACCAAAATTGGGTATGGTCTTGGGGACACCTGGCACAAGAGAAGACAGATAATGATTAGCAGTTCAGGGGAAACAATATATATGCGTGGCGAGTGACCGCAACTAGCTGATGTGAACAGTTACCATGTAGAACTACCACTAATTATTTACATTTTCTATGTGTAAAAACTAAAAACTGGGAAAAAAAAAAAAAGGAATGCATAGTTACTAACACAACCTGAGTTCTACCAATGTTTCTTCAGCTAAAGATACAGATAAGAAAGAACTCCCTGATGATCCCCTCTGGAGAACATAAGCTATTTTAGTAGCCTTGGGATTAAAAATAAGAATGACCTCTCATTTCTGGATTCATGTGAATATTGTGGTTAATAGTGCATACCCCACTTAGTTTCTGCCAAGTGGTTTCCAAATTTTAATGGTCAGGAGAATCACCTAGAGGGCTTGTTAAAACTCAAATGGCTGCGCACAGACATATAAATTCTGATTCAGCAGGTCTAGGACAGAGTCTAAGAACCTGCATTTCTTTTTTTTTTAAATTTTTTTATTGTTATGTTAATCCCCATACATTACATCATTAGTTTTAAATGTAGTGTTCCATGATTCATTGTTTGTGCATAACACCCAGTGCTCCATGCAGAATGTGCCCTCCTCAATACCCATCACCAGGCTAACCCATCCTCC